AAACAAAGAATAAGTAAATAAATGGGTACATAAATAGTATATACATGTAGTGTCTGTATATATATATATATATATACCTATATCTATGTAATACACAATATATGCTAAGAAACAAAAAAAACAAGTTCCATTGAACCAACTTTATCTCTCAAAAATGCTCAATTTTATTACCTACAACCTCAGTTAACATGTACCATAGATACAAGTCAAATCAACATATCTCTTAAATCTATTTAAAAATAAATAATAAACCACTGAAGATCATCAGATAATCATCACATTACAGTTAACAGTATTACAGGTCATGTAATTATCAATCATATGTTTCCAGATAATAGCACCTATCAAGGCATTCATCAATATATAAAATGGAACTATGTAAACTCTGGTACACATCATAAAAAGAAACTATTATCTTTGTCATCTGACTGTAAAAGAAGAACTGATGTGAAATCAGATTTATAGAAACTTACGGTAAACCCTTTGTCCATTTCACTAAACCAAGTGTAGCCTGAACTTTTCCCATAATAATTGTCTTTAGGAATCTATAATGAAATAAATATTTTGCTCTAAATCTTCTGTGTAAAGCAAAATGATTATTGAAATATAAATTTATTGGAAAAATAACATAATCAATTCTGTTTTACTTCACCATATATTAACCTAAAATAATTTTGGTATGTGAATAATGTTATGACATTTCATCAAATTCACTATTTGATATTGTACAGCGGACCAACTGTTTAATGATTTTATATATATTTCTTATTCACCAGAGATGAAATTGAAAAGAGAACATATATACAAACATGGTCAATGTTCCACTTACAAGTTAACTTTTCTTGAGACAATTAGAAAATTGTTCTGTATCTTATTTTCAATTTCTAGGTGTTTCTATAACCTGGCCAGAAATTTCCATTACCTGCCAGTAGGTTTACTGTTCTACTGTTCTGAACACCATGTGTCACATATTTCTAAACTATAAAAATCCATCATAGGTCATCAAGGGTAGGCATACACTTCTGCAAGGCATTTTTAACTGTTCGGCTAATTCTGTAATATCAGTTCATACATACATGTCCTGTTTCTCCCTTCTATTGGATTTAAAATACCATATGGTTTCATCATTTTGTAAAATATGAGAAACATTCCACAATGAGTAAAAAACTAGAAGTATGTAGAATTATTTCACTGGAATATTTTATAAACTATAGTAGTACTAGTGAACCAGGGCCTATGGCTCACATTTACCAGCCCACTATAACGTAAGTTTAATTTCTTTAACCAATTTCTTTAGAGGTTATAATTTTATTGTATAGGTCACTGGTTAGGCCACATTTGGAGTATTGTGTTTAGTTTTGGGCTCCTTACCTTAGGAAGAACATTGAATTGTTGGAAAGGGTTCAGAGAAAGGTTACTAGAATGGTGCCTGGGATGAAGGGGTTGTCATACGAGGAGGGGCTGAAATCTCTCAAACTGTTTTTCCTTGAAAAAAGAAGAGTTAGAGGGGACATGATTGAGGGGTTTAAGATTGTAAAGAGAATTGATAGTATTGATGCATCATCTTTTTTATACTTAACAGTGAAAATAATAGGACTATGGGACACAAATATAAATTTTGACAAGGTAGGAGTCACCTTCAGCCAAGACAATTTTATTTTTCTAACAGGGTGGTTGACTTTTGGAATGGGTTGTCTTCGGATGCTGTGGAGACAGTAAATATATTTAAGTGAGTTTAAAAGAAAGCTTGATAAGTATATGAATGATAAGAGCTGGCTTTAAGATTTTATTTTATAATAGTTTTAGTTCAGTTTAGAGGATGGGACAGCTGAGATTGTTATGAACAGTAATTAATAGGCCTAATTATTTATGTGCTCAAATGTAAATCAATGCAAAATTTGGGATCTGCTTTGGGAAAAATCCCACAAAAGTGTTTTTGTGAAATACTCAGGTTCCCTACGAGATTGGATGAAAGTTTTATCTTTGTGCAAACCTCAGGCCCAAGATGATTTGTTTGATACCATTTAGAAGTCAGTGCAGTCAGCAGTTTAGGAGGAGTTATGGGACACACACAGACACTAAATCTTATTATACAGATGACTGCAGTATGTGTAAAAGAAAACAGCTAAATTGTCCTTGCAAAATGTATATCAATGGAATTAGTAAAGATTTAGCAAAACAAGAAATTTTATATTCACCATTCTCAGTAAAAATATAATTATGTTGAACTTTAATAATTTTTAAAAAGCAAATATAATTAAATATAAACTATAACACCTGTTTCTCATGAAATTATTCAAGTACTATAGAAATCACATAATGCTATCAAATTACCAATGGGTTAAGTTCAAATCATTTTAAAGGAAACATTTAGTACTAAAGGAAATAAAAAATACATACCATTTCAGGTTTGGGATAAACACACGTAGCTTTTGTTTCCATATCACAATAGACTAAAATGGAGTCTTTAATGTCACCTTCATTCGGATCAATCCAGTAGTTCCCTAAAAAACAAACTCTTTCATTCAGGATTTAATAAAAGTGGGGTCCCCTTAATTTGACAACATACAACATTCTATCTGTATTGAGCGCTACAAAGTCAAAATTGTTCTAGCTGATGTCCCTTGGCTACATAATATTATATGGCATGTGTCAAAGCCTCAAGTTGTATTTCTAAGACCAATTTCCATCTTAAACACCTGAAAACAGACATCAAATAAGATATCCCATATTGGCTACTACTGTTCTTAAACTTTGTACTTTATAAGTATTTGGCATGCACGGTTTCAGACAGAAACACTGAATTCATAACACTGATGTGATAAACAATTACACTTCAGTATTTGTTCTTCTTTAGTACTCGACCTCAACTTTTTCTTGGAGATAAGCAACCCATAACAACAGAAACCATGAACTGAAAAGGTTATTGAATCCATGTTTCGAGATAAATAACATACCTTGCTGTTTTACAAGGGAAAACAAAGGTGCCTGTGCCACCATGTGGTTTCTATAAGGTATATGTGAATATCTTATAGTAATAAACTAACAAACTGCATTATATTTATTGTAAAAAAACAAACAACAAACTTTGACAGTAGCTTGGTCTGACATCTTAAAAATACTTTAATTGTATTATCTTTCTATAAGTTATGGATGGACAAAGTATCTTATAGCCTAAAAGTATGCTTTTATATTATGTTACTTGTGTTTGTATCTGAGGTAGGAATTCGTTTTTACTAAACTAAGCAACTTGCCTTATATTTGAATTGTTTAGCCATTGTTATAATTTCTTAACCTACAGTTTTATTCATTTTTCTAAGCTTACTTGACCTTAGAACACAACAGGAATGATAAAGTGTACAATTTGAAATAGCCAAGAGGCTGAATTACTGATGTGTAAGGGGCTGGCTACACAGTTGTTGTACTTGTTTTTTTCAACTTCATTGCTTTACTTACAGCTAAACATTTCACAAAGATGTTTTGAAATTGATCTCTTGTTTTTTTATGCCCTTTAAAACAAGGTTAAAAATCACAGAGATTAGAGAGTAGACTGGATAGCTTTTGTAAGAACTAATAAAACCCTGGGCCTGGATTAAGTTTGGGACTCAGCTTACAATACTAATAACTATATAGAGCATATAATATTATTAGTGCAGTTGTTTCAATACAAAAAACACTGACATAGGCTCATTGTTAATATGGTCATGAATTATGGCTACTTGCCATAAGGCTGTTGCTTCATAGTATCACTTGATGGGCAAAGGGGTATTATATGAGTAAACTGAGCAACCCTTTTCTGATAACCTATCTGATATAAAAACACATTAATCTAAAACAATGCGGCTAATATTAAATTTTGAACAGCAGGGCAGATATAAATGTTAAACAGGCTAGCTGGTCATACAAAATAAGTCATAACTGAAAACATACTAGCAAAGCTATCAATGTGTGAAGTCAAAGCTCTGCCTTTTGACAAACATGCCTGAACTCCTATGAGGTATTAAAGAAATTGTTGGTTGACTCTGACAAAAAGTAAAGCTTGAAGAAGTAAACCTGTAGCCAGAAAAACAAAAGAAAGGGCTAAGAATTAGATTGCTAGGATGTCTTTACACCGTAATTCTGAGGCTTAGAGTTCTCCCAAATGACAGAAGAGGCCAAAAATTCAGCACTATGAACTTGCTATATCTAAAGAAAAGATTCTGATCCACTAGACCATGAAAGATAGAATAAGCACACAAGATCCCAAACAGAATAGGAAAAAAAAATTCAGAGGAAATTAATCTGTTCCCATAAATCAGACAAAATAATTTCAAACAAACAAGGAAAGAGAGTTAGAGGAACAAATTCTGCTGTAAGCGACTTAATCTACACTGTATACCTGCAACGAAGCACACACACAGTACCTAGCTGATATCTTCTTAGAGTTGGTATAAGACACACAAAAAGATAATCAACAACTACAAACAAAGTCAAAATGTATAAATTAAGGCACAAGTCAAAGTTTTTATCTAATGTTATTTTTTATTCAAGTGAAGACATTAAAGTACTTGAATAAGACTATTAACAGAAAGATAAAGAATAAATCTGCATTAAGGCATGTATAAATGACACTAATAATGGGGCCTAAATGAAGATTGTAACAATTGAATTCAAGGACATGTAGATTTTTCATAAAACAAAAACTTTACTGTGAATGAACTTCTTGCTTGATTAATTAATTTTGTGTTATTTTCATTTTTCAATAGATATTATTATTCTTGAACTTATTATGAATCAATGTTATGTGAAATATTGTTGGAAAATTATCACACTGTTGTTTGAACAATAATGATTGTTGCATAATTTATGTTATGTCTGACCTATTCTAAGATTTTGAATATTCCTTAACTGACTGACTGTCAACTAGTTGGTAGACTAAAGATAGTTGGTGTAACTGTAATGATTGTTTGGGAGTAAAAAAAAACAAAAAACTCACAGTTAATTTTTATATTGATCACATACATTATGATCGTATATCAATATCTAATTCCAAAATGTATTTGAACAATGTCAAAATAAAGGAAAAAAAAATTCTGATTTGAGCAAATTAGTCAACAGTTGATTAGTAGCCTCTAGAGAGTAAAAGTTCTAATGTTTGTTTGTTGACTTTCACACAAGGTTATTTAACAGCTATGTATGCTAGTCATCCCTCATTTTGAAGCGACAGACAAGAAAAAAAGACAGCTAGTTAACACCATCCATTGCCAGTTCTTTGACTAATCTTTACCAATGAATAATGTGATTGACCATCACATTATAAAGCGAACATGTTTGGTGATAGCTTTTGATCCCATAGCCCTCAGATATTATATATATTAACAATTAAAGATCAGAAGCAACTTCGGGAGTTGAACTAAACAAACAGTTTTTTTCTGATATTCTCTTTCAAGAATGAGAAGAAGGAATAAACTTTGAAAAAAAGTATGTCAGGAAATACATTGCTAGTGAGAATGATGAAAAAACAAAAACAAAATTAAGTTAAAACTAGCAAAAGTAAAAAAAACAAAAAAACAACATGATAGAAGGTTGTAAATTTGAGAAAAACCAGAAGTGCTTGCAAAGAGTAAAAAAAAAAAAAGACTTCATAGTAAAACATGAATCCAAAACAGGAAAGTTCATAATGTTAAGTGATATACAAGTAAAATTAAAAAGAGTTAAAAACAACAACTTAGAGCCAACCAGGTTTTTATAACTAACAGATTAGAATTCACCTCATTCTACAGTGACTAATGGCTCTATGATATATGGAACAGCATCTATAATCACTTCAAAGGAAATTTTTTTGTTTTTGCAGTTCACCAACTATTAAAGTCAAATTATAATAAAATAATTTTAATTATTTATCACCAGATGATTTCTCTGGCTATGGCCAATGTCAATAGACAGATGTTAAGAAATACTGGACAAAATAAAAAATTAAAGGATATAAAAAAAAGAATCTCTTCAATACAAAACTGCACATAATGTGTTTTAAACACTGCAAAGAGCTAGCATTTCCTTGGCTATCAACAATTGATTTACTAAAACCTTGAAGGAACATCTTAACACATGATATGACTTATTGGAATATAAGAAAACTGTAAAACATTATCAATCTACTATGTGTATATATATATTTATTCATTAAATGCAGAAAAAGAGTTAAAAGCTGCTAAGCTGGTGTATTTATCACAACAAATTTCAAACTAGATCTACTGATTACACAATACTGTATTTTGTTGATTATGATACACCAGCTTCAGCAACAGTATTCAATTCAGATATTTTTTTAAGTGTTAGCAGTTTCTAAATAAAAAAAATCAGTATTTTATGAGTGATATTCAAGTTTAATATGTAAAATGAATGTAAAACATACATATATATATGACACATACCACTTGGAAGATTGTCTCTAACAGCAGCCAAGTCTTTGCATGTTTTAGCTGGAGCATCTTTTTTACCAGTTGGTTGTCGATGGTTCTTATATTCTTTAACTATTTTGTCATAATATTCAAACACCAGTTTTTTTTTTCTTCTACGGGTATTTCTTCTGAAAAAAGTTTGTTTGAATCATCTCCCAAGAATGGATCTGGTCCCTGGCAAAAAAAATCAAATTAATGAACATTCTCAAAATAACCTCGAATGAGTGTTGCTCGGCAAGATGTGAGAAGAAAAACTTGGGTAAATGATAATAAATAATCAGCTGAACTGTCTAAATGAAAACATTTTCTAGTTTACTTTCTGCGATGTTTCGAGCAGACACCCTTCACCAGGCAGTAAAGACCGTGTTACAATGGAACTAGGATAAAAAAGTAAAGTATAAAAAGTTTTCATTTAGACGTGTCAATTTGCTCTTGATTATCATTTATCTAAATTCTCAAAATAAGTCAATTTTACTAAACCTGCTGCATGAAGAACACAAATAAACTAGAAACTAGAAAAATGTTAACTAATTTCTATATAAAGTGTAATATGGTTATTAAAAATACAGTATGAGGAAGTTATAAGGCCTCAACAATGAACTTAAAGCATCAATATACTATATTTGGGTGTGGTAAATAAACCATGATTTTATAAATCTCATTAGATATCTCATGTAAGGACACTTTCTAACATAAACTTTTTACATGAAAAAACTAATAAATTAAAAAAAAAAATCAGGTCCTGGGAGATAAATCCAGGATCCCTGGCTAACAGAGCCAGTGCTCTACCACCAAGTTATCCAACGAGTACAACCATCCCCACTAGTGATAAACCACAGTCTCTTTTCACTCATCACCTTTTTCAAATAAAACATTTATGTCAAAAAGTTTCCTTTCATTGATTCCTAATAGGATTACTAAAATAATAAAATAAAGTAAGTATGTGACAGACTTTGTATAATTTGGTAAGGTGGTGGTAAACCAACCCATTAATTGTCTGACTACAAAATAGTATGGTTATCACACTCATAGTAAAAAGTCTTATGAGTGAACTGTGACAATGATAGCTCTGTGGTAGAGCATTGGCACTACCACAAAGCTATCACCGTGGTAGAGCATTGGTACTGGGAACCAGAGAGATATATGCACCATATAAAACAGCAAAAAAAAAAGGATGTTTCAGTGATAACAATAAGAAATAAAGATAAATTATTTACTTTAAACCGTCCTTGACTAAGAAGAGCAGCAAGAGAATTTGCATCATAACCAAAGGGATCACCGGGTGGCCCTGGAGGACCTGGGAGTCCACGTTGACCTTGTGGACCATCACGACCAGGTTCTCCTGACGAACCTCTTGGACCAGATGGCCCCAATGAGCCTGGAAGTCCTGGTTGACCATCTGTGCCTTGAGGGCCATGAGGACCTGGAGGTCCCTGTGGAGAAAAAAAGGAATGTGTCAATTTTTTTAAAGATTATTACAAAATCAAGTTTATTTCACTAACTAAAGTGTTAAGTCAGTTTGGACTTAAGTGCTTTCAGATCATGCCAAGATTAATTATTAAGACTGTATTTAATATTATGTTCATTAAAACTAATCAAAAATGTTACATGCAATCTAATAAATATCTATTACACATGAAAACCCGAGCAGGTTTAAGAATATATAAAGCATGTAGCATATAGTACATCCATAGCACTTTAGATTAGTATCAATGCTGAAAAAAAATAACAATGTAGCAATGTAACAGAGTAACTTACTTCCACACCAGGAGGGCCTGCTTCCCCTGTCATTCCCCTCTCCCCTTGTGGGCCCTGAAGAAAATTGTTAAGAAAAAAGAATAAGTCAAAATCTGACTAATTAAACGGAAGAATTTACAAGTTAAGCTTAATTTTGCTTCTTCACTTAAAAGTAACACATTGTTTAACAGAAGTTACAAAAAAAAAACAGTTCTTGAATTATTAAAATCTAAAACTAAATGGTGAATCATTGTGTATTAACACTTAATAGCATATCGTTTTTCTTTTTTTTTACAATAAAGGCCTACAAGTTCTATGTACATTCATTTTAAAGTTGAAATTTTTTTCCCTAATAACTCGCAGCAAGCAAGGTGTGGAATCTGGCATGTCTTTCAGTAGTTATGGACAATTTTTATGTCTGAGAAAAAGGACATTTTTATAACATAGAAACAGAAAAGCAAAGGCTTGGGCCCAGCTAGTCACCCCTCTGTACACGTTACTGTGTATCGTAATGTTTATCGTGTAATTGAAAAAATGAAGAATAACAAATTCAAGAGTTTTTCAACATTAATTTTATATGTTTTCTAAAATATCTCATAAAATCTTATTGACTGTGGAGTCGTAATATTACGTTAATAATTAAAAAACATTTATAAGAACAACTGAACAGGAGAAAAAAAGGATATGTTTGCTTCTTATTGTTTTTTTTTACCCGATGTGTACCAGAGGAATCCAGTCCTCATAATCCCCCCCCCCTACCAAAAAAAAAAAAACCTTGCCTTACAATGCTTGAAAAGTACCCTTCTTTTGTCAATGAACCTAAGCTCTTTGACCATTCTCTGTACATTACTGATGGTATATATACACACACTGTTCACACACAATATCTTGAGAAAAAAATCAATGACTGATGATTATATATCAATTTGAACATTATTTCAGATTCTTGTAATGACTATTCAAAACAAAATTAAAATAAGATATTTCTGATTAAGTCAGTTAAACAATGTTTCAAAATTGATACAAGTAACTTAATAAAATCTTGGTCTTACTGTTTAACACTAACATCTGTTGAGACACCATGTGGTTTTTGAGAACTAATAACAGCAGCCTGATAATACTTTAGCTACCCATTATCATACTATCTAGACACCATGCAATATTTGAAGATTGATGACAACAACCTGATAACACTTTAGCCTTAATGTTTACTATAGAACCTGTACAACCATCATGTAATGTTTGAGGATTGATAACAGCAACATGATAGTACTTTACCTTCTTATTTATCCCTACTATCTGAAGAGACACAATGAGATGTTTAAGGGTAAGTAACAACAACCAAATATTTTAGCCTCTTGTTTATCCTAAATGTTTACTATTATCATCTGTAGAGACAACATGTGACATTTGAGGATTGATGACAACAGCTGAATAATATGTGTATCTCTATCATCTGTAGAGACAACATGTGACATTTGAGGATTGATGACAACAGCTGAATAATATGTGTATCTCTATCATCTGTAGAGACACCATGTGATATTTTAGGATTGATGACAACAACTGAATAATACGTTTATTTCTACCTCTGTACCCGCATCATGTGATATCTTAGGATTGATGACAATCTATATAAATAATATGCTTGCATTTGTCTGTCCAGAACTTCTCTTTTAAATTTCTTGATCAAACACTACAAATCTCATATCATTAGAAAGGCCTTTGTCCGAGGAGTCTGAATTACATATTGACTTTTCAATTGAGAATCATCTTAGCTGTTTTTTGCTTAGTCAAACTTTTCAATGCAATGAGTATGGTACACTATAACACAATGGAGTTGTCATCCCATAACAACTAGCTTCAAATTCAACTATAGTTTTTTTATTTGCAAAGTATTTTACACAAACAACACTTAACCCATGTGTAATTTCCCAAAAAAAAAAAGAACCTTACACTAAATGCAATTTCTATGGGCCTTCTCAACTTATTTAGGTCTAAGACAAGCATGCACAGTTTGTTCAGACTCATATGCTTATCGCTTTGCTTTGTAAACATGCATTCAGACATTTCTATTTATTCAGCTAAGTTTGCCTTCATTATAACCTTACATTTACTTTACTTTGCAATAATTTAGCTTCGGTTCATTTCATTGACTGCTACAAACACCTTTCAGCTCCTTTTTTTTTAATACAGGTTTTATTCTTCATTTTTATGAGTTTCTTTGTGTGAAATTGTAAAACTGTGTCATACACTGAACACTCATAACTGTTTAATACTCTGTACACTATTATAAATACCATTACTTTATATTATTGTTTACATTGCATGTAGTTTTATTAAATAAAGTTACATCCACATAAGATTGTTTGTGTGACCACTAAAATGTTTTTGAAATAGACCAGGATTTATCGATCTAATGCATAATGCCTGAAAGAAAGCATAGCTTAAATGGTATGCATGAAAATGACAGAATAAGGAAAATGTAATCGAAGGACGTGAAAATTACTGCATGTTTTGTGGGTCATAGCTAGTAAATGAATAATACTTTAGTCTCCTGTTTATCTCTATCATCTGTACTGACATCATGATAAATAAATTCTGTATTTATTTGTTAAATTTAATAGACAAGTTTTGGTTTTCTAATTATTTTTATTAGCAAAAGAAAACAGGTGTATTTAACAATTATTTTTATTTCTAAGAATCTTGTGTGTCTTGTATCCTTCTATTGCTTAGCTCAAGCACTCTTAATATTTATAGCTACAATTACCACACAAAACAAAAAAAACGTTTTTATCATTAATACCTAATTTAAAAAATGCTACACATATGTGTATAAACACATAAATATTCCCATATAACTTTGAAATATATGATATTTATTTTAATTAGACTGACACACTTTCATAACTTTTAAGTTTCTCTTAAAAACTACTAAACTACATTTGTATCTTTTTTAAAACTTAATTTAGCTATTTCCAGTTTTATTTGTAATTTAAAAAAGCTAAAGAAAGGCCAAACTCCCTTTTAAAGAGTTGAAAGCTGTTAGAATTTGATTACACTATGTAAACATATACATAACCTTCTACTCCTGTGAGCCTATAAACAATACTCATAATAACAAGTAATTCTGGTACCAAGAGTGATCATGTCATATATTAGTTAAATTGTATTGCTTTAAAAATATCTAATTGTTAAGTTACTGGTAAAATCACTTTTTCAAAGCACTCAAAATATATTTGCTAAACACTTTAAGCCATTGATTTTTTGAGCTGAGACACTACTTACAGTTTTTTGACTACACATTTTGAAACACAAAAAATCCCCTATTGTTACTCAGTCATTATTCAGTCTAGCAGTACAAAGTTATGAACTTCATATTAAGTTAAATAAGAGTTAAGACTCCCACAAAAATACAAATGTTTTAATAGTGAGCTTACCACTGGTCCAGTTAATCCTTGTAAACCCATTAGGCCTCTGTGTCCTTTTTCACCCTTTTCACCAAATGCTCCACGATCTCCTTTCACTCCTGGGTTACCCAGAGGTCCAGTTGGTCCACGCGCTCCTTGAAGACCAACCTCTCCAGGTGGACCCTGCTCACCTCGTTCTCCATGCTTTCCTTGTGGACCAATTGGTCCTGTTGGTCCAGGAGGTCCCTGTAAAACAATGCAATAGGTTTTTTACCTTAATAACACATAATGCTTCCATTAAAGTGAACCTTACTTCTATTTGAAAGTGCTGATATAGTAAATTAGATAAATGGAACTTTTTTCCATCACTGGGAAGTCTACCTTCTGAAAGTGTTCTAGTTAATTAATTTATTGAATTGTGATATACTTCTTATTTTTTCTACATAATTTTAAGTATCAGGAAAGTGCTAGTTATTTACTATGTTCCAGAAAAAAAAAGTAGTGTATTAACATTATTACTAAAATTGTAATATACATATTGCAAATGTAATTGTATTTTTCAATGAAACAACAACCAAATATTGACTGTGATGCAACTAATGGATATCAGAAAAATTAGCGTTTCAAGAAGTTTTTTATCTTATGTACTTACACACCAGTACATAATTACTAGATTTAAAACTTGCCTGCTGTCCCTGAGGTCCTGTGCGACCAGATGGACCAGGTTCTCCTCTGGGACCTCTGTTTCCTTGTTGGCCTGTAATTCCTGGTGGTCCTTCTATTCCTACTCGACCCTAACATTCAAAAGTTTTCTTATCATTTGAAAACAGCTGAATGGAATATATATACACACACATACAATAAATTCTATATTCACAACTAAATACCTTATCTTTCTAGAAGTTGCAAACAGATTTTTTCATGACTTACATAAACACTTAGCATATAAAAAGAAACTTTCAATGAGATATTTTTCATGAGTTTAAGGCACTGATAGTATTCCAAGAAAACCTCAACTCATCTATCACATGTAAAGAAATATACATTTATTTGATCAACTTACTTAAAACTTTAATTAAACCAAACAAAATGACTATGACATTGTCAACTTCTCAGTTACAAGAAACAGCTGGAGAACAATTTATAAATTCATTTCTTTTTGCTAACTGATAGAATGTTTTCGTACTTCCACACCAGGTTCTCCTGGCACTCCTGGAAGCCCAGGTTTTCCTCTTAATCCTTGAAGTCCAGGAGGTCCATCAGATCCAGGAATCCCCTTTTCACCTCTTTCTCCCTGTAACAAATAGTCACTACAGGGGTTAGCATAACATTCTGTGCAGTACAAATATTACATTTAAAAAAGTAAGTTTGGAAGAACTCCGTGTACTTTGTAGATTTATAAGATCAACAGCAAAATATTCTATTCACATCTCTTCAGGAGTACAGAAGTTTATAATTCATATTTGTTGCAAACTATTGAAACATTAAAATAATATTTCTATCAATTAAGACAAACGTTTATTTGCTTTGTTATGGCAAAGCAATTAAGGCTATCTGCCCCTCTCCTTAATTTTAAACTGCTGACCAGAGGGAAAGCAACTGACAGGCAGCACCCTCTGCTAACTCTTGAATTACTTTTTTATTAAAGAATAGTGATGTTTCCTGTCACATTATAATGCACAAGTAGCTGGAAAGGCGAGCATGTTTGGTGATGAATTTTCATGGGACGCACAGATTGTGAGTCAATTACTCTTACCACCAGTCTATTTAGAAACAAGACAAATATATTCAAGCTGTAAAAAAACAAAACATTACAAACAAAAAATACATATTAAAATACAAAAATACTAACAAAATTACATAATATGAATAATGTATCTTTTAGGTAATAAAATTATTTTGGGCTGTAATAGTAAGCCAAAGGAAGCTGTTTAATTAACAACTAACCAGAGTCAATTGTTTATCTAGTTTTAGAGCTTTTAATATTTTTTATATAATCACAACAAGTTACTCTCTAGAATCATAACACTTTTAGTGTCTACACTGAATGACTTCATGGAATTAAAAAATGTACACGCATTAATTAAATTCAAGTGCAAGTGACGCTTTATGCGATAGTACGTATTGTTGAAAAGTACCTTACTATCAAGTGGGTTAACCCTTTACCTCAGGTGGTAGAGTACTCACCTGATATGCGAGAGGTTCAGGATTTGAATCCAAGCCGAGGAAATAACAATAATATTGAAATTACCACATTTATGTACATTATTTCTAACCTGAATTAATACTCTACAAAAACATTCTGGTATACTAGTGAAGATTCATGCCATTGATGTGAAATTGTGTGTTGCTAATGATGTTTTCACTAGAAATGTGATTGCACCTTAAACAGTTTATGTTCATGAGTAGTTTCTACAAGAAATGTTGGACTTTAGGTGCAGTTACATTGATTAAGTTACTATGGATAAAAAAGTTACAAAAAAGGAACTAGGTAATGATGTTGACACAATAAAAGTTTTTCGAGTATGTACTAAGTAGAATAAGGAAGAAAAAGCTATTTTCATATGTGTGTATATATATGTATGACAAAGATGACAGCTTTTTAATGTTATACACAAGTTTATCAAGGTGCATTAAATTTATCTGCTTGAAGATTTTTTTTTAAAGAGAAAAATATAGCAGGGTACTAACCTGTGGGCCTGTTTTACCTGGAATACCTCGAGATCCTCGTAAACCTGGCAGTCCAGGAAGTCCTCTTTCTCCTACAGGACCCAGGGGACCTGGAGGTCCTATAGGTCCCTAAAATTACACAAAAACAATGAGAAACAAAGAGTGAAAATGAATTGCTAACATTAGAACCAATAATCAACTGTAGTTACAGTATATTCAAGATTCTCCTGTATTAGAATAACATCTTGAGATTGTGTTATCGGGTGGTAAAAATTATAACCAACTGTGACATTTTGCATTTTGAATAACTTTGCAAATACAATATAATGCTATTTTATTATTTGGTACACAACTTATTATCACACAATAACACAATCACCAATTAACAACAGCAAAAGAAACAAAATTAGAAACACTACCATTTAGTTTACCACTTTTACTCTATATAACATATGTCTGCAACATAGAATATAATGATTTATTTTCAATTGGTAATTATCACTTACTATAAATGTATTAGTTGGTTCTGAGAAAAACTTCAAAGCTAGCAGTCTTATATAAGACCCAAAATTCAAGAACTTTCGAATAGTTGACTATTCTTCATGAGAACAAATTTGAAATTCATAGCATAAACAAAGGTCACAAAGATTCAAACTTTAAAATATATGTACTTTATTTTTCTGATGAAAGTTATTTAAAGAAAGGTAGTGACAATGTTTTGTTGTTGTTTTAGTGCAAAGTTTCACATTGGGCTATCTGCACACTGTCTTCCATGTGGCGTCAAACCCTGAATTTTTAGCATTGGAAGTCCATAAACTTACCTGCTAGCCCACCAGGGGACAGTCACAATCAAACATCAGTCATTGTCATGGTTAGTAGCCTATACAATCACTTAATTTTAATTGTTAGTTGGTAATTTATTTTTATTACTAGATACTAATTAATTTATATCCTTTGTTTAGGTTGCTTCAAAACTTGTGTTATTCATATATAAACAGCTTCTGCTGTAATTTGATAACTAGTAGCTTCTTCTGGTTTAAGTCCAACAAGTAATGATGAGAGAAAGTCTTCAGAATTCACAAATTTGCAGGTAAGAGTAGAGTAAATGGAAGTCCAGATGAGAAGGATTAAAATGAATAATCAGTATGATACAGTGAAAGAAATTATACAAAACAGGCAGAAACTGATACCAATGAAACAAAAAATTATTTAAGATAATAATAATAATAATGATAAAGAATTAAACTAAACTTTTAATTTTATAGAAAAATTCTGCTTCTAATTTGTCTTTATAATTACCAGTGGTCCTCTTGATCCAACTTCGCCTTTAAGTCCTGGAAATCCTGGAAGACCTGGTTCACCTGGTGAACCAGGAGCTCCAGTTCTACCTACATCTCCTTGTGCTCCCTAAAACAGGGGTAATATATTATGTAAAACCAATTTTTTTTTACAAGGCAACATAATGTTTTGAGACAACAAGGGACCTATTGGTCCATCTCAACTGTTACATCCTCTAAACCAAATTAAAATAAATAAATTTAAAAAACATCTTAAAGGCAGCCTTTATCATTCATATTCTTATCTGGCTTTTTCTAAACTCACTTAAATTTACTGC